AATGTCTCTGCGATCAAATGGAAAAATTACCAGTTTTCAAGGAGCTATCAAACGAATGTGCGAGTAGGAGATGTTGTTAAATGTCACAACAGCCATACGGTGTTATGAATAACATATAATGCTAAAATGGACCGCACTCGACGTGCGTTCTTAGAGGAATGACTGGCCGGAGAGGTAGAGACTGAAGATATGAGTAGTGGTCGCGAATGATTTTCTCCATTGCCTTTCTGGACATTGTAACTCTACCGTCTGGTCGTCAGAGTGCAACCATCTTCGTTTTGTAGCTGGTGAGGTATCGGTGGGCTTTGCGAATTCTCTTCCCATTTTCTGCAGCTTCGAGCAAAACTGCTATTTTTCTCTCTTTAAGATCTTCTTCTGTAGCCCGTTTGCATTGTTATACAAGCTCGCACGTGAGTTGGCTATTGTCGGTGGATCGCGCAATTCCACACAGGCGAATGAGCTCGAGTGTTTCTGGAGACAGACATCTCTTGGTGTGGCAGGTCTCACAGTGCTAACGTGAAGATGTTGAACAAGCCGACCAAATTCTTCGTCGATGTCATCGAGAACGGCTTCTTCCTCACAGCCAACTAATGGGCTGACTGGATTACAGCTTATGGTGGTTTTGGGACTTCGTTTCTTGAATTTAGAGGCTATTTCACTTCTGCTTTCCGCGAGAAATAGAATCTTGCACGAAGGAGATGATGGTCTGATCCCATGTAGACTTTTGGGACAACAGCGACATCGGTTAGGCAATACCTTCGATTTACTATGACGTGGTCTACTTCGTTACAGCACACTCCACTGGAAGACTTCCACGTCCAGCATTCGGAGTGGGGCTTTTGGAATTGCGCGTTACCATGAATGGTCTTGGTTGCCATGATAAACTCAGGTAGTCACTCACCCTGTTCGCTCAATTCGAATCCGTGTTCCGCAATGTACCGTTCTTCAAGTATTTTTCTTGGTCCAAAGTTAGCGTTAAAATCTCCAGTGATGACCTTCAAGAATATACTGTCTTCTCTGTAGAGCTTCTTCAAGTCCATATTGAATGCTTCGACTTCTTCTTCTTCGTCGCAGTTTGATGTCGACATGTGAATGACTAAGATTGTCACAGCTGTTAATGAACCATACTCTTCAACTGTAAACGTCCGACTCGGCTTGTTAGTTGTTCGAATAGATCAATGTTAATGGCCAAACATGTGTTAGCGAAAACGCGTCATCAACTCCTCTATTGTCGCATGTTAACAGAAACAGATTTTCTCCAGTGTCATAGATGGCGTTGAATGGGTGGCGTCGTCTCGTCTCGGCCAGTACGATTACGTCGTGCCTCATCCTTCTTGCTTGCATAATCAAGTCTTCTATCGAGGACTCGGATGGAAGTGCACACACATTGTAGGTACAGATCGTGATCGTAGTTCTTTGTGGTTCACGCGGCTTTCATTGGCCCTGAAATTTTAGCAGCCTCTTCGAGCTCGTCCTCGTAACGCTGCCGAATTGAGGGCTCTTTCGGGATCAGTAGAATGAGACCCGTTTCTTTTACTGTGTTTAGATTTTGATACACACATATAGCTTTCTGAGCTCTGAACGTGGGGGCTGGGTATACACACGGGTGCGCCTTGCCAGTCTCTCACAGAGTGGATATGGAGCTATTTGTTGGAAGCGACTCCTAACCGCCTCGCATATACTTCGCTGTCACATCATTGCAGGGTTTTGGCCGAATTGACTCGAAGAATACTATCCGCATAAACGTGAACGAACCCACAGACGCGTACATGAATACGCCTCGCAAGTGCAGAAGGTATGTGGCAAACCGACGCAGCAGGAACAGAGAGCCCAACCATTGCATCCTCCTGTGTCTCAAAGAAGCAAAGCTCGCTCTTGATCCGCAATTAACCCTTTATCCGCCACCCGTGGACACGCCACGTTGCCTCAGGACTGGCCGAGAAGAGATTCTTCTGTTAGGGAGATCCGTGGAGTGGCGATGTAATGTAAGGAAGTCCAAGAAAACGTGAGAAATCTAGTCAAATCCAAAACAGGATATCGATCACGATAAAAATAATTATCTCATTGACAATGATGGGAAAGAGGACCAGATAACAGAGAAGATAACAATAGAAATCAGAGTCTTGTCACTGGCCAATGGATTTCTGAGTGAAGTGGGCATAGTAGTTAGACGCGACGGGTCGTTAGCATTGGTGTCGTGGTACGGTGCCCTCAGAAAAAACCAAAGCGAACAGCAGTGGGAAGAAAAGTTACTGTGTGACCAAACACTACTAAAACGATAGACAGCGATTGACTCAAATCACACATTCGACCGGCTAGTGAACTGTGGAGCATAATCTCAACGTTTTTCTTACCGTATCCATGTAATTCGATTTCTAAATAAATGCTGATGTAGTTCGTGTTTGTTGAAAAGAATGAAAAACGCAAGAGATGAACTAAACACAGGAAATCAGCGCTATACAGGAAGACAGTGGAAAGTGTAATCATCATCACTTATGGCGCATACACACGAATGAGTGATCACACTCGGAAATTTAAATGCTTATCATCTTCGACTTTCAGATTTGATGAAGAGGATGGAGTGCGTAGTACGGTAGACATTTTCGTTAACGCACACTAGTTAAATTAACGAGACAATAACGCCTTCATAATGAAAGTCAAACATCGAAACTGAACAGATAGCGATAAAACGCAAAAAAAAAAACTAGAAACATACAAAGTTCTTCCTACCAATGGTTCCGACAAGTTCAGAACTACCTTGACTTCCCACGCTTTTTTGACGCCCTATGTGTATCTTGGTTCCATGGGATTGGGTTGGAGTTGAACCATAGATGAAAGTGGATTCGCATTACTTTGCCTATGCCATAACATGTACAGGTCTGTGGTGTTACGAGGTCTCAAATATTGCTTAACGGAGGCGGTAGCGGAATGTTGTTGATGCCGTTCACCAAGAGCACGCTGCTTGTTCGACACAGCTCCGAGCCTAGGAAGCCTACCGTGGATCCGGAGTCGGGAATGTAGTATTATATTTGTCTAGCACCAGTTTGCTCTCACCATCCATGTGGAAACGTTCTAGTCGTGCACACACAGGGCTCCAGAAAAAATCAACTCAATCACCATTTAACGGCATCCATAAACATGAAGCAGCAGCCGAACCCACATGCGAAAATTTCAAAGACCTTTGTGGACGACCGATATAGTAGGACAATCGAGTACAAGAATGAATGGTCTGACCTGCAGAGTTAGTATGAAGACGGGTCGTGCAAAATAAAGTGAAAATATGCCTCATATTTCACGAAATTTTACTGCTCAGCACAAATAGTTCCGTAGTACGAAATTCGCGACCTTATTACAACAAGGAGCTCTTGTAGTATAGCTTTCAGAGACAAACCTTCTTAATCTGTGGACTATTTTCTCGAGTAAGTGAAATAGCTCAGTGCAAGTCTGGACGAAAGCCCTGAGTTATCACAATACTAAAATTAAATGAAAAACAAAGTTCTTGAAATTCTACAGCATCGTTTTATAAACATCCACTCAACTACAAAGATATTGCGAAAAAATCTATGAGTATTGAAAACGAGATCTACGTTTCAAAAATTTCGCACACAGTCATTACCTTACCTTCAAAACACAGTAGAGAGCGCCATCATGTAACTGCTCATGTTAAGTTGCTTCAATTTTTAAACTATTACCCTGAACGAAAAAGAATGAAAGTAAAGCACACACGTCGTGTGGGCTCCAGAAATTCGGAGTATAATCTAGGTAAAACTGAAACTTTTACCGTCCTGGAAAAGGTCTGTTAAATTAAAAACTTTCGTTGGAATTAATAAAGTTTAACTTGCGTTGAGATGTGCTTTAAAGTTTTGAACGACGATCACTGGAACATCGTGCACGTTGAAATCAATACTCATGGTAGCTAATGTGTTAGTGACGGGCTATATTGACCGACGGTATTCTTACGTACGATACTACGACGTATGCTATAATGATAACCCGGCGGTGCAACCTGAGCTTACAGGAGTTCTACATTGCCGACCTGTCACGTGTTTCTCAGCACTCTACGGAAGCAAAAGCAGATCCAGTTAGCAAAATTGAAGGAAGAGAACTTGAATACGAAATAAAAGTCATGCTGAGTTCCGATTTACGAGGACCTCAACCTATTAGTTTTATACAGTGAAGACATTTCTACTTTGACAAGGATAGACAATGTCTAATGACGAAGTTGACGATGTTATGGTCAATAGGATGGATCCGATGTAAGGTTTATAAGATACTTAGTCTAAAAAGCCTACTGTACACTAAAATCTAACTCATTAATTGAGCTGTTTGAACTCACAAGATCACTTTAAGCACAAAAGCTCACAGTTGTAGATTTAATTATTCATTTATTGAGCTGGCAACGATAACTATAAACTGCAGGGAGTATAGCAGCACCAGTGCCACTTTATGAGCGTTGAAGTCACCTGGATCCTGAAAGCCAAATAGATGATCTTAGATATGAGACAGCGCAGACTGCTGTCTATGTTACAAATAGTATAAAAATAAGAATTATACTCAATAGTAACACTGCAGCAATGAACGCTTCTAAACCGAAAAGTGTATTGTGTGGTGCGATGAAGTTAAAACGACACATGAAATATCATCTGCCAACACGAAAGTGGAAGTGAAAGTTCATCTGTATTTACTCCAGCAAAATTTTCATTAACAAAGCTGTTAACAAAAGTTCTGGATATCCATGAGCTTCCCAGAGAAAAAAAAAACAGAATGACTTTTCGAAACGGAACAGAATTAATTAACTTCATATAAAATCGTGGTTAGTGTGAAAAATAGCAAGCAGCTGTAAAACTGTTAACAAAGAATAACAAAACGTATAGGAATATCTTCAAAAAAGAAAAGAAAAAGAACAGAATAACTTCTCAAAGACATAAAAGAGTCAAGCTTCTAGGTAATTGTGTTCAATATGACTAACAATAATAGTGCAGTAAAAGGACAATATAAGTTTACAAAAACTTTTCTGACCATTCGCTCAGGCAATCGTAAGCTGCTATGGCATTACTAATGCCAATTCCAGTTGTGGCCTGAAAATAGAATAAAAGTAAGGTAAAACAAGATAGAGATACTAGATAATAGGAAACAATTGCTTAGCAGATGAGGTCGTAGTGACACATGAGTTACATCGCCATCAATTGTAGTCTAACATCGTTATCATCTGGAATCCAGTTAGTCACCGAGTGACTTGAATCAAAGTCGTTACCTCTTTAGCTGTCGTATGTAGCTAAAGGCTGCAGGTCAGTCCAGGTTGCTGGAAGCACACGAAAAGCACCCCAATAATCCTTATGCTGCTCGTAATTTGTGCCTAATGGGTTAGAAATCATGGATAATTTACTGAACTCCACTATGGGTGTTGGAAATACAAGTTGTGCGGCTGAAGATGTTGGGTATGTTCATTGGACTGGACTCCTAACCATCAACGGTTATGCCAGTTTAACACAGTATTTGCCGGAAACTTATTTCCTGTTCTTCACCACTAGAAAACGAAATGAGTCTAACATTTCGAGGCCCAGAATCTGAGCAAGATGAAGCGACTTCCTACGAGTCATATAGTAAGTTACGCTAAGTGATGCAACAGAAGAGAAGAAAAGCACAAAACATGGAAACCAAATAGAATGTTAAGACAATCGCTTGTTTTCAAAACAACTGAATCAAAGGTTTCAATCCCCAGGTTTACTAGTTGTAATTTATCGAAAGCTATCTACATATTTCTGTCTTAACTTCAGAGTCACTTTTCTGCTCTCCGGTACGAGGACATGTGAAAAAAACTTTTTAAATGCGTCGCCAAGCAAGGTTTTGCCCTTAATAAAACAGGCGAATAGTGAAAATACAAGGGAAGGAAGATCGAGCAAAAAAATGCTTACAACAAGCCATTCGATGAAAGCAGATCTTTCCTTTCTGTAAATGAGGAATTGTCCGAACAGAATATAAGCCTGCAAAAATCTGATTATAACGCGTTACGCGAAAGTATACGTAACATAAAACCATCTATATTCTTGGATTGACCTTATCGAACCCGAGACCGACGAGTGTATCACTGCATTCGTGCGCAATTCCTGCAACTGACGACACGTGCTTGTCACGCATTGGCTCGTTTACGAATTCGCGGAGCTTCGAAGACGGAGACATTCTCTGCGCAAAAAAGAAACATAACAAAAACCCAAAAACATTGGAACAGAAATGTCAGTACTCACAGATATAAACGACCACTTAGAAATTCTATAATTTTACGTAAAATGTAGAGATTAAGATGCAATATCTGGATTGAAATTGTTCCAACATGATGATATCTTCTCTAAGCACCTTCACGTTATCCAGATGGTTAGCTTGAACCTCCAACATTCTATACAAAAAAGCCACAAAATGTTACTTAAGTATGACATAGTAGAAGAGCTAGTCGTTCTCGATTATCGGATAGACTGCAATACAGTGTCAACAAGCAGCTTCGTAGTAGAAACAGGTATTCACGACAAAAGGGAAAACTCAAAGAAGCTTAAGCTTTCGTTTAAGGTACATTCAGCACAGAAACGTTACCTTCTTTTGCATACCATATAATTCTCGCTTTATAGCACAAAACAAAACTCTTATGTCTCGGCATATTGAAATATGCTACATGGACTTCAATCGGTAGGTGACTAATCACGCCAATCGTTTCAATCTAAGAGAAACCCAAGATTCTTTTCAATCCGGCGACTGCTAATGGTAAACGGCTGTGAACACTCTGGCAGGGCTATCGCAAAATTCAGTAAAAAAAAAACTCAATATTTACTAAGCCAGTGACAGAAAATGCCAAGTCATCTTGACGAAGCCGAACCCGACCAACCAGACCCCCTCTCTGCGAGGTGTTAAGAACACAACTTGCCAGCTGCCACGTCTGTTATAACCATAGGAAATCTGTCGTGTCGAAAACGACTGCACGAAAACCTCATCACAAGACTGCTGCTCACGTTGTCGATTTAATGGATTAAAGAGACCGTGACCACAGCGGGAACTTCTGCGTCCTAAGGAACTGACAGCCCGTATTTTAGATTACATTCTTAAATATCTTCCATTTTTGTCTTGCCATTAAACGAACATGTGCTCAAAACTACAAACAAATATCGATCTACCTCGTATGTGGTATTTATCGGACGAATGTCTGCACGAAGTGTGCCATCGGGCAAAGACACCAGCACGCCTCGAACAGCTCCCTGAAAATATTTCAGCTGAACAACTATGTTTACAGTAAACAAATTAACACATTCGCGTCCACGCTCAACTTTGTGTGGCAGACGGATGGGACTACGCTTAATTTTTCCCCGCTTGTGCTGCGCATTCAATTCAATGCAATCTGGCCGAAACATCATCATAAAAGCACCTATCGTTTGTTCTAGTGTACAGTAACATGGTTTTGAATATATTTTCCCCTCATTCCCATAAATCTTCATGTTGTAGATATTCTTATTTTCTTCTATGTATTTCCTCATGCTCATAAAACATATCGAACTATTGTGTGTGATGAAAAAAAAATTCCCTCCACGTAGCAGGTGTTGTCGACCAGGTTTCATGTAATAGTACTTGAAGACTTGGACCGACCGTCCTCAGTGGTTGTGGTCGGACCCCAGAACATTCTCCACTTATTAGTTCTGCTGACTTAGCTGTTGTGGTTCCTTTGAGCTCAGAGGTCAGCCTGGCCAAAGTCTCCACCAAGTCTTCACCACCATAGGAATTCGCCGCCCTTGTGGATCAGAGGGAGATTTGCCACCATGCAACTAGTTTGGCATCTTAGCTGGGCTTTCTGGTCGAAACGCTGGACTCCCTCTCAGCTCTAGAAACCATGCCGGGAGGACGAATCCCTTCGCTGTACATCGCAGTCTGACACCCAGGAACACTTCCCCGCCACGGTGATGCGGTATATGAGGTGCACATCGATATTTTATTTATGCTTTTTTCATAAACAATTTTCCATGATTTAGAATAAATATTGGAAGAAAAAGAAAGCGACTATAAGTTAGAATCGGGATGTAGCGGCTTGAATCATATTGGAAAAAGGCAAATCCAACTTCTTCGATGAACTCTTCATCGAGCGCGAGTAGGAGGTAGAAAACGTTCAATAATTCTATGTGAATGGAGTCGAATGATATAAAGGAAATGTCGACTGAAAAATGTGGATTTTGATGACGATGATAATGATGATGATAATGACGATAACAAGGACACTCGTAAGAACAAGTTCTTAAGATCCCTATAAAGCGTCTCATAAAATTGCATAGCATATTTTCAAGGATTCAGACTTTTTATATTTTCTGCTAGGCTACATTCTAACTACGCTGCTACTTTCTGATCTTACGTAAGGAAGAACAATCAACAATTACGAGAGTTAAAAGTCCAAACGAATGAATGAATGAGAATGTGTTCGAACAAACGAGTCCCTTGCGTGTTTATCATCATTCTTCCCTATTTTTTCGCCGGTTTTTACCAACTACCATTCACTAATAGTTTTGGTGATAAAGACTTGAACACTCTGTTATAATCATGTTTAGTAATGAACAGTTGAGATTGATATTCGGTGAAGTAGGCAACGAAATGCTGCGCTCAGTTCATAGCGGGAACTAAGCAGAATGACCGTGAATAAGAAAACGTAGAGAAAGATAAACTGAGGATTCGGAAATGAGGAGCAAAGAAATGAAAAAGAGTCCATACAACAACGAAATTCTTTCTAACCACGATATCACTACACATAGTAAGGCGAAGTGGAGATTATTCAGTTCATGGGCGAAAAGGGAGAGAAAGCCTATGAAAAAGGGAACAGAGAGAAGGATAGAACGAAAAATAGTAAAGAAAAAAAAATAGGTGAGAAACAAGTTAGTACAATGGGAACACCTTTCGCACTCACAAATGAGAGGTAAACGTACACAAATTTTCACCAGGTAGTTCAGTGCCGAAGAAAGTGAAGACAATATGAATTATCCTGTGGTCCGTCGACGACGAGTCCAGCCGTCACTGACAAAACCTAACCAACTATATGGGAATTATGTGTTATACAACCACAACGACGCTGCGAAATTTGCAAAACTCCTGACGGCAAGTGTATGGGGAACGAAAGCGATATTACCCTTTTCGGGGACTAACGCATTCACCATCACACCATGCGGGTCCTCCGTTCCGCCTGTCTCTCAAATAGTTCTAACGATCAGTGCCATCTAACTGAGAAAGAGGCGAAACAAAGGACACGCATAGCGTGGTGGTGAACACGTTAGTCCTCTTGAAAGGAAAATAGTGCGTTGGTTCTCCACCGCAGATACCTGCGGTCCGGAGTTATGCAAATATCTCAGCATCACTGTAACTGTACCACACAATACCCTGCTGTGAAAATTCGTAATAGCCAATAAATAAAGTAGTTAACATAAATGGAAACTGTTGATACGAAATAACTAACTGATCATTGCAGGCCTACTCTATACTTGTTAAGAAAACTAATAAATACCCCACCTATTTGCGCATTCATAGTTCAGCCAGATTATCTCACGTGTAGTTCGGTTATGATGTAGTGAAGAGGACAAGGAATATCCGACTCCGTGCCCACCTTTTCGACGCAATGGTACTTCCTGCCCTAATGTATGCGTCAGAAACCTGGTCGCTGCGTAAGCAGAATGATAAATCACTCAGCGTTATTGAATGTGTAGCCGAAAGGACGATGCTAGGAGTATCCCGCTTCACATAAGTAGGGGACGGGATCCGAAGCTTCGATCTGCGTCAACGATCAAGAATTAAAGGTGCCGTTCTGTACACCAAACAGTCAAAGACAAGGTGGGCCGGAGACATAATGCGTATGAATGACAACCGATGGACAAGAGCCGTTAGTGAGTGGGTTCCTCGGGATGACAAACGTACTGCAGGAAGACCACCGACCCGATGGTCAGAGTTCTTCACAAAGAGCCTTGAAGAAAGATATGATGCTCGACGAGTCCCTAAAGCTAGCAGAACCCACTGGGCTACTCTTGCACGCGACAGGGAAAAATGGAAGACTTACTGGCGCCCGCTCGAGTCATTCGACGATCAACAGGAGTACAGGTGATATAGATGATACAGGTAGTTCGCTTACATAAAGCCGCTGTTCCATTTGGTCATTCAGACATATTTCGTAAACACACAGAGGATCTGCAGCGACAAGGTGGAAAAAATTGCAATGAATGACTTCAATGGGTATGATTAGTAAACCAGAGGTATCTTCAAGATAACAGTTTTCCTACGGCGTTGGCTAGTGATGTTCTGAAACAGAACGGTCGAATGACAGCGAAATGGAAAACAAAACATCGTTACTACTGACTTATTATAAAAAGTGCTAAGTAAACTAGTATGAGGTGCAGCCTGGTGCATTGCGATGCGCAGCTCATATGTAAGCAGTATAAAGTCACTACGTGAATAGTATATAATGTGAGGTCTGCCGTAGAATGTGAAATAAATCAGCCACAACGATGCTGAGATATTTGCAAAACTTGGACACCGAACCAGATCGAACCACGACTTCCCTTTTCGGGGGCTTGCGCATTACGTACTGCGTCACTGATGCTCCTGCTCCATGTTTCTCTCTGCAACTTCTCCATCTACCAGTACCATCAGCAATCACCTGTCAACGGGACTGACCTGGGGAGCCTACATAGGCATTGCACCTAGTTATACTGAGGCTGCAGCCGAAATCACAGTGTTTACTTTTTTATTTACTGCCTACTATAGCTTTCACGGTGGGGTATTACGCGAAATCAACCACAACGTGGCTGAGATATTCGCAAAACTTGGACCATAGGCCAGATCGAACCACGTTTTCACTTTCCGGTGATTCGCGTAGCTTAGAGAAACGCAGAGCAAAAGCCCAAGTTTTGCGAATATCTCAGGGTCCTTGTGGTTTTGACTTTGTATACTAAAATGCCGTGAAAATTGTAGTAGGCAGCAAATAAAAAAGTAGGCATTGTAAAATAAATGTTCCTACCCACAACGTTCTTCACCATGTTAGTAAATCATTACGACATTAAGCGCAGAAAACCAGTTACAGCTTAAAAAACATTGCCCGAAGAAAATGAGTGATGAACGGGATCTTTCTGAACACTTCTAAAATCATTCATTCTGGTCATTCATGGTGCACACACCGT